CAGTGGCTCGACTCTCTTGTGAGGGACGTTCGCGCCGGTCCACCACGCGGTGCTATCGCGAAAGAGGGTTGACTCAAAAGCGTTCGTTACCAGACGTTTCCAAGATCGGCAAGACTCTTCCGCTGGCTCGATGGAATGTAGCTTATCCCGACGCATCCTCTCTAGGAGCCTCATCACCCAGTCAACCTGGAGCTCAATAAAAGGCGGCGCGTTGGTCTGCGTCGTCGGCCCTTGCGGCCCATACAGCACGAATGCATTGGGCATATTGGGGATCATCATGCCAAGGTACGTGCTGATACCGCTTCTCCAAACATCTTTGAGCCGAACGCCGTTCTTGTCACGGATGTTCATGTTCAGCAGGCTACCTGTCACGCCGTCGTAGCCGGTGGCCATGATGACAACGTCCAAGTCGTGGTGTGTAGCAACATCAGAGCTACCGGCGAGAATCCCATGCCTGTCAAAGGACCGGATCGGCGTCTCCTTGAGGTTCACCACTTTGACATTCGGTTGGTCCAGCGCCTCGTAGTAGTTCGTCTCAAGATTGACGCGTGTTGATCCGAACCATTCAAACTGCTGCAAAGGCGCGACGATGTCCATTTTGTCGGGGTCCGTCATCCGGCTTCGCGTTTTTCGAACCCAGAAATCGTACAAGCATGCATTGGCCTTCTCGTCGAGGACAATATCGCGATAGTTTGACTGCGTGAGGCCGAGGCCACCTCTGTTCCACAATCGCTCGAACAGGTCGTTTCGTTCGGTCTCGGTCGCGCGGAGTAGCGAGTCAGAATTCTGATTGTACGGGAGGGCCGAAGACGAGCCGAACTTGGCCTTTGCGAATATGGCATCGTAATAGTGTTTCATCTCCTCTGACTCTCGGTACGACAGCTGTCTCTGATGCATCGGGACCGCGATACAAGGGTTGCGGACAAAAACCGTCAGCTCGCAGTCGAGTGGTGCAAGCTCCTGCACGATTTGCAGACCGGACGCGCCTTGACCGACGATGCCAATCTTCTTGCCCGTCAGCGAGAGTTTGTCGGGCCAAGCGGACGGGTGTATAACAAGCCCATCGAACAGGTCTTGGTTTGGGAAAAGTGGCATGTACGGCTTGTTCATCGAGCCGCATGCGAATATCGCATGCTTGGACGTCGCGCGTAGCCCCTTGGTCGTCCTAAATTGCCAGCGCCCGGCCTCGGTGTCGTACTTCGCCTCGTCTACCTGGGCGTCGAAAATGGTGTCCTGACGCAGACCCAGCGTTGCATCGACATGGCGAAAGTACCTACGGATTTCCTCGCAACCAGGAAACCGCTCAGTGAAGTGGAAATCAGCCCAGACCCTGGGCAAGCTGAACTGGTAGGCGGGCGTGTCGGAATCAACCCTGGCACCGGGATACCGATTGAAATGCCAGACGCCGCCAAAGTCGTCTCCGCGTTCAAGAATCTTGGCAGAGAACCCTGCCTCCCGGACTTTGAATAAAGCATAACAACCACTGAAACCTGCGCCAACGATGATGACGTCTGCTTCGAGCTTGTTTGCCTTCTGGCCTTCCATTGCAACAAGAGAGAATGTTATGTGGCCGATGATCT